CTATGAATTCTACCACACTTGCATTACTTTTGCCACTAGATTTACTGTTGCTTGTTTGATTAAATCCAGTGCATTTGATTAAGATGAGTACATTTGATTCCACAATACAGTGACCAGACATGCTATTCATGGCTTAACAGACTTATGGAAATGCTGAAGGAGTGCTGGATGTTTATGATCCACTTTTCAAAGCTACACATGTTCAGGCTGAATGTCACCTGCCTCTTGTGGCAGGAAAGTGTGTGAAAGAACATTTTTTTCCACTTTAAACTTCGCCGTCAACTCTAACATGTTTTCTATGCAAAATACATAAAGATTTAAAACACGGGAATACGCCCAAACTAAACATATTTAACTAATTCTGAAAATCTGTTCACTGAGGAATACAATTAAAAGATCAAACTGAATAGCCATATTTTGTGTTGAACATATAGTCATGTTAAGTTAAAAGGCGGATGAGTACCCAGAGGAGGAGAGAGGGGGCCCATTTGGGCAGTAGGTCTGTTTCCTTAGGACAGATAAGACGTATCTGTGACAAAAGAGCCAGGTCCTTTGCCCGCTGTGTGCAGATGAACCTTTGGGCACTCCCTGGCCACTGCACCTCATAGTGAGCAGAGCTGATGCTGCTGCAGTTCCTTACCCTTCAGGACACAACTATGTGTTGTGGTCAGGTCAATGTAAAGGAAATTAAATAAAACAGATTAGGGAAGCGAGTTCTGGAGAAGAAACCTGAAAGTCAGAGGGCTTCCAGACACAACTGGGTACTGCAAGCAGAATGGGGAAAGAAAGGAGCAGAAAAATTCTGTCAGCGGGCACTGAAACTAGAAACATGACTCTAAGGTCTCTTCACAAGGCTTAAAAAAAGATTAATTTTTCAAATAGCTCAGACTAAAGCAAAAGCTGGGTAAAAACCACAATGCAAGAAACTGCAAATCTTCTGAATGATTTGGTCTGAATCTCTAGAAACTACGTTTTTATTTCAGGAAAAGTTAACCAGACAAATGCCTATGTGTTTCTAGTCTTTCTGATTACATAAAGTGCTGAAAATTAATGTATTATTGGCTCGCAAACGAGGCGTAACTTCCCAGCTTAACAAAATTGCTTAGCCCCATACTTAAATGCAATCTTTTCATTAATACTTCTAAAATTATTTTTTTTTCGAATGGAAGAAAAAAATGCTTTCACACACTATTAAGAGGCAAACCCAACTTATTTGTAAAATAAAACTCATTTCTTGATACCCAAGAATGTAGATTGGAAAATTCTCTTTTCATCTCACCTCATAGCTGCAGCCCATTTCAAAGGCCCAGCTCAAAAGTTGGCAATTTAATCAGGCTGGTAAAGCTGCAACTGATGGGGTCCCAAAGCAGGAATAAATATGTAACCACGGAGCTCAGTATTCTCTAATTCTCCTTACTGTATTTCACATTCTTCCAGAATCTGAGGCAGAATAAGTCATCTTTTTTTTACATCTTGGAAACAGTGCTAGTTATCTCATCCCCTATGTACCTTTACAACTGCTTGCATGTCTGGAATTACAGTATCTTTTATGTAGAACAGAATAAAACGGAGTCAACTGGAGCAATTGTAAGTATCTAATGTGAGTAAACAAGACTCTTCCATTCCAATTATTTGTTGAAAGTTATATTTAATCTTTTAAACCACTCTGAATATTTACTTTTAATGCACAAATCTATTCTACATTTCCGTTAACTTCAAACTAAAAGCTAATGAACATCTAATTTCACTTTCAGGGAGTCAAGATATAAGATGTACGTTTCACTGATTTGCAATTTTGAACTAAAAGCTATGATTACCATGCAAGATGAGAAGGATAATGAAATAGAAACAAAAAGTATTAATCAAAACTGCAAGAAATAGTAAAATTTAACAGTGTATTTGAATTTGGGATTGTCTACAACAAAACCACAAAAACTTGTCTCATACTGTAAAAGTTTTTCTCTTTCTCTCTAAATCTTTTATTTATCTTTGTAATAACGAAGGGCTTCAGTGCTTATAGTACCAGATTTTCCTTTGGTCAGAATACAGAAAATGACCAAACTGGGCACAGCCCTGAACTCCTTGAAAATCTGTGTTTAACCTTAGGAGACAAAATAAATTATTTGAGCTGTGACAATCCAGGATGCTTCTTACATTTACACAGAATCACAGAATGCTTAGGGTTGGAAGGGACCTCTAGAGATCATCTAGTCCAACCCCCCTGCTCCAGCAGGGACACCTAGAGCACGTGGCACAGGGTGGGGTCCAGGCAGGTTTGGAAGATCTTCAGAGAAGGAGACTCCACAACCTCTGTGGGCAGCCTGTGCCAGGGCTCTGTCACCCTCACAGGAAAGTAGTTCTTCCTCACATGGAGACGGAACTTCCTGTGTTTTAACTTGTACCCATTAGCCCTTGTCCTGTCACTGACCAACACCAAGAAGAGTTTGGCCCCATCCTCCCTACATTCTCCCCTCAGGTAGTTGTACATGTTCATCAGATCCCCTCTCACTCTTCTCTTCTCCAGGCTAAACAGGCCCAGCTCGCTTAGCGTTTCCTCATACGATAAGTGCTTCAGTCCCTTCTTCATCTTTGTAGCTCTATGCTGGACCCTCTCTAGAAGGTCAATGTCTTTCTTTCACTGGGGAACACAGACCTGCACCCAATGCTCCAGGTGCAGCCTTGCCAGAGCTCAGTAGAGGGGCAGGATCCCCTCCCTCAACCTGCTGGCAACACTCCTCCTGATGCAGGCCAGGATCCCATTGGCCTTGGCCACAAGGGACATTGTTGCCTCGTGGTTAACTTGTTGTCAACCAGGACTCCCAAATCCCTCTCTGCAGAGCTGCTTTCCAGCAGGTCAACCCCTAATCTGTCCTGGTGCCTGGGGTTATTCCTCCACAGGTGGAGGACCCTGTGCTTGTCCTTGTCGAACCCCATGAGGTTCCTCTCTGCCCAACTGTCCATCCTGTCTAGGTCCTTCTGAATGGCAGCACAGTCCTCGGGAGTGTCGGCCACTCTACCCAGTTTGGTGTCATGTGCAGACTTGCTGAGGGTGCACTCTGTGCCCTCTTTCAAGTCACTGATGAACAAGTTGAAGAGCACTGGGACCAGTACTGACCCCTGTGGGAAACCATTGGCCACAGGTTTCCAAATAGACTCAGCCCCATTTATCACCACCCTCTGAGCTCTGCCATCCAGAAAGTTCTCACTGAACCTCACTGTCCACTCATCCAGTCCACACTTCTGGAGCTTTCCTATAAGGATGTTATGGGAGACTGTGCCTTGCTGAAATCAAGGCAGACAACATACACGGCTCTCCCATCATCCATCCAACAAGCCACCTCATCGTCGAAGTCCATCAGGTTCATCAAACATGACTTTCCCTTGGTGAATCCATGCTGACTAGTCCTGGTCACCTTCTTGACATACCTAGAGATAGTCTCTAGGATGAGCTGCTCCATCACCTTTCCAGGGACGAACGCGAGGCTGGAGGTTCCTGGCTCCTCCCTCTTGCCCTTTTTGAAGACTGGAGTGACGTTGGTTTCTTCCAGCCCTCCAGTACCTCCCCCACTCTCCATGACCTCTCAAAGATGATGGAGAACAGCTGAGCAATGACCCCCACCAGTTCCCTCGGCACTCTTGGGTGCATCCCATCCAGGCCCATAGATTTATGAGTGTCCAGTTTGCCTAAATAATCCCTAACCCAATCCTCCTTGACCAGCAGAAACTCCTCCTCTCTCTCAGTTATTGCTCTTTTCCCTGGGCTCAGTAGTGCATGGGGACTGGCCTAGGCAGTAAAGACAGAAGCAAATAAGGCATTTAGTAACTCTGCCTTCTCTGCATCCTCCGCCACCAAGACACCCTCCCCATTCAGCAGGGGCCTAACATTTTCCCTAGTCTTTCCCTTGTTGCTGATGTATTTATAGAACCCTTTCCTATTGTCCCTGACATCTCTGCTAAATCTAACTCCAGTCAGATCTTGGCCTTCCTCCTTGCATCCCCGCACTGTTTGACAATATGACACTGTTCCTATATCGTTCCAAGGTGGTCTGGCCCTTCTTTCACATTATGTATGCACTCTTTTTAAGTTTTTCCAAGAGTTCCTCGCCCATCCACACAGGTCTTCTGTTTAGACCTGTTCAGAGATCACAATCTTGCTATGACTTTTTTTTTTTTGGGGGGGGGGGGGGATTAAAGTGGGAGGAGATGGCACAAATTAGGAATGGATTTGAAAAAGCATTCAAAATATTCAAATGCTGCACAGAAGTTCTACATATCTTCTCCAGAAATCTTTATCATAAGACAAGAAAATAATCTGTATTTAGTTGCTATAAGACCCTCAGGAATGCTTCCTGTCCCCACCACTAGGTCCTAATGTCTAGTACAGTAAGTGCAAGTTTAGGAATATACAATTGTTGTTAGACCAATATCTACTTCTGGGAAAAAATATAAAAAGAATTTAAAAATCCTCATACTTTAATTAAAATGAGGTTGTAAAAGAAAAATCATACGGAACTCTTATAGTATGCCTTCTCAAGCTAGTTTTACACAGATGAAATTCCAAGAATGATGAAATTCCGACTTCTTCAGCCTGCAATTATATTTTTTGCAACATTTATGCATTTGTACAAATTCTTTTGGCTTTATTCAAACTGCTGAGAAAAAAAAATGAGAGAGTACTGGCAATATCATAATTTAAATTTCAGTATAAGTAAATACATTTTCCTTTATATATTAAACAGTTGTTGATTCAATAACATTAATGTGGCTCTGCTTGCTGCCCCTAGCAAAAGTAATAACCACTGAGATGTAAGAACCACTGGCAAAGACATGTGGTCAGCTTAGATTTTTCACTCAGAACTTTTCTGCAAGAAAATACACATCTTTATATTACAGAATGTTATTTTTGAAAAAGTGGAAATGCTACTGTTGGATTAATTGAAGAAAAATATTTCTCATCTGAACACGTATACATCTTCTCATGATATGAATTATGTGGAAAAACATTAAACCTTCGACAACATTTTTTTTCTTATACATATTCTTATCTTGAATGTGAATTCTGTTTTGTTGGACTCTCCTGCTTAGAACAAAAATTATCCCAACATGCAGAATCCTCAGGTGTGAATGGAATACCAGCTGCAACTAAGTCTTCAAAAGTCAGTATTGTAAACTCTGGATGATTAGCCTCCATGGAATATACCTAGAGAAAATACAAAATAGTATTACATGAATTATTAACCCTCAGTTTTCTCCCTGCAGTCTTTCCTGTGCAGTTTAAACTACATATTATTGAAGAATCCAGATCAATGGACTCAGATCAATGTCACTGTCCCCAGTTTAGACTAGGGGGTAACTAACAGAAGCCCATAACAGTGCACACAGTTGAAAGAATTTTTTTTCTTTGAGACACAGTTCAGCATAGAGAATTACAGAAATGCCACAGAATCAGTGTTTACAGACAGAAGAAATATCTATAGCAGACATGATTATTTGGGATGATCCTGTGAGAATTTATCCCACTAGAGGTATGTCTGTTCATCTTTTCATCATCAGCAATCACTGGGGTTGTGCATGTACTCGCTTTAAAAGATGCATAGTAGAGCATATAAAGGATGTAAGCATATAAAGGATGAAATTAGTCACAGCAGATCTACAATTCTCAGTTTTAAATTTGGGTTAAGCACAGACCAGGATATCAGAGGTATGTGTCAAGGTTTCTGCATTAGCTTTATCACTTCGAAAAAATTGCAGCTGAAAGAAAAAAAGATTTGCTTTTCTGAGCATGCATCAGCGTGCATCTTGCTGTATGTGACTGGCAAGTGTAATATGTTCCAAATAGCAGAGCAAATAGTATAGCTGCATGAATCAGAGACTTTAACTGATTCTTCCAACTCTGGCATTTGCACAAGAAACATTCTGGATGTTTAATATTTGGTAAAAGTCTTCAGATCTATTCTACAGTGATTCTGTGCTTTTTTTTTTTGATATAGGTTGAAGGTATATTTAAGCTTTTGAGATGTGAATATTAGTATTTGCTAATGAAGACAGGCGAGTAAATGGATGAAACAGCAAAAAAATCTGTTCTCTCTGCTTCACTGTTTGAGCAGTAAGCTACAGCTAGGAATACATGGAGAAACAGTAAAATGGGTTGTGTTTGCTGTAACTGCATAGCAAAACTCTGGAAGCTGTCCAAACGCAGATTGAAAACAAAAATTAATTGAGCTGCC